TTACATAAATCAAAGAACAAAATTTTTTGTATATTGAAAATTATAATAAATACAATATTATTATATTGAAAAACATGTTTTTGAAAAGTAAATGAAAATAATTAATTGAAGCATAAATAATATATAGAAGTTTGTGAATAAAACACATTACAGTTATTTATATTTGTTTTATAAAATACGAACACAAACTGTTCAAAACAAAAAAAATGAGATAATTTATCACAAAAATAATTGTTTGTCAACTACATTAAAACCACCCATTTTTGTAATATATTTAAATTTTAAAATCTGTTTAAATCTTTTTGATTATAAATATAAAAAATATAGTTATGTATGTATTTACTATTTGTAATACTTAGAGTATAATTTAAAAATTTGAAGAGTATTAAAATATTTTTAAAAATTATATTAAAAATTTAGGCATTAAAAATGTAAATAATTATTAAAGTTTTATTACATATAAGTACTGCTTTTTAAAATTTATGTTTTTGTATAAAGTACTGTTAAGATTATTGTTTTTTTGTTTTGTTTTGTACTATTATTATTATTATTACTATTGTTATTATTATTATTATTATTACTATTTAGTGTATTTTATTATTATTGTAGTATACAATATATTTCAAACTTGTTTATTATAATGTAGTATTAGTTAGATAAAAAAAGTAAAAAATCTAATTTTATTTCACAAAGCCTTTACTAAAAACTGATTATTATTATTATTACTACTACTACTACTATTATAATAATAATAATAGATACAAAACAAAAAAACTTTACAAAACAGCACTAAATCCAACACAAAATATTTTGAAACACATTTCTATTTTTTCATTTATTTTTGTACTGAAAATTATAATCCAATGAATTTGATGTCTAGTAAGGACTTAATGCTATTATACACTAATGAAACTAATCTTTTGTTTGCTATTAAATAGCAGTGTTGTGTTGATGTGTAACAAACATATTGTTGGCATAGCTTATCATAATATTGTATAATATTATATAATGTTATTTATTCTCTTATATTTGATAAAATAATTAAAACGCTTACCTAAATTTTTTAAATAGTATCATTACAGTTGATTAAAATTTTTAATAAATATTTTATTTTTAATATTTAATTAAAAATTTATCTGTTTCATTTTATTATTATTATTTATATTAATAATTTTGTATTTGATTATTATTTATAAATAAATATATCATACATATAAATTGAGCAAATAAAATAAATTTATTAGTAATTGTTTTATTTAAATGCTAAATTTATATTGATTACATATATTTTTGTGATATTAAAAAAATATCAATTTATATACTTTTAAAGGTATTTCAGGTCAACCTAACCATGTAACTTTTTTTTGTTTATATTTTTATTATTTTATGAAATATTATATATAAAAATAGAGTTTATTCACAGCAAAAAAATGATTGATTAGACATTTATATGACATATTTTTATCGTTATATTTATAATAGAGTTTATATCCGTTATAAAAATATAAATTTCTTCTATTTAATGTTTTATAGTAATTTTAAAGAGTTATAGATAAAAACTATTGAATATTTTTTAAATATACTCTCAAAAAATATATTTATCATATTTTATCTTAAATATTAGATTATTTATTAAGTCAATTGTCTATTATTTACATATTTTTTATTTAAATTAATATTTGTCTAAAAATCTATCTGTTATTACATATAAAATAGATTTAAGTATTTTGAAGAGCCATTAGTTTGTAAATGAATGCCAATTATAAACAGTACTCTTGTGTTAATTCTTGTGTCACTTAAGACTACATAAGAGATAGCAATGTCTTTAAACATACAAACAATGTTTAGTCAATGACTTGTATGTATCGTTAATAGTAAACCAATTTTTTGTGTCCATTTACAACATGAAGCACTTGTGTGGCAAATAGAGAGTACAGTTAGTCGGTTAGGTGCCATACATGAGCCCATTTGAGTTCATGTCACGTATGACGACATTTTTGCACTTATTTTTCTCTCTGTGAAACCAATTTAGTGGACAATTGTTTGTTTGTAATGCAAACGACTATTTTTTCGCGACTATAATAATTCTCTCTTCAGTTTTATTCACTTATTTAATAGACAAACAGTTTTATAAACTTTTTTTTCTTTACTCTTAAGTTTGAATGACTTTTGAATACATAAGTGTTTATTAAAATTAAATGCTTACCAAAAAAAACTGTTTGGTTGATTACCAACACATAAAAGCAGTACTAAAATATTTTTCTAAATTTCTCAATTATTACACACACAACACAAAATCTTATTATCAATTTATTTTGATTTTTATTATATGCATATTATATAAGTACAGTATATAATATTCAAATTAAATTTGTAATATACTGAATATATCAATATATATATATATATATATATATATATATAGTAGTTTATAAAATAATTTTTTTAAAAAAATGTATACAATTTTTAATATTAAAATCTTGAAGGCAAAACTTTTTTATTTCTTTCTATTTTTTTTTGTTGTTGATATAATCACTGAAAACATTATTATTTCACACATATATTGGTTGATATTATATATTCAAAAAAATAGTTTGAATCACTCGTCGATCCTTTTGTTTGGCTATAAATCACAAACTTATTCATTCGTTTTTTTTCTTCTTCTTCTTTACTTTTGACACATTATTTACTTGTTTTCAAAAGCGAAGTGAAAATCAATTTTTCTCTCTATTTATTTATTCATATTATTTTTGCTGCTTTTTTAAAGAAAAATATGTATAAAATCTATATTCAAAAAAATATGTGAAAAATGAAAAGTGAAACTCAATATGTCAGTCAATTTGTGGCTTATTTTGTTTGCTTTTCTATACAACACTATATGTTTGCTGGTATTTGCAAATCCATTATATAACATATGATAATAATAAATAATAATAATAACACAAAATATTGTTGCTTTTTGTTGTTGTTGTTGTAATTATTATTTATGGTTTTATTATTAAATATTTTTGTTTTTTAAAATAGTAAAAATTCACATAATTAATCTAGATTATTAATAATATTAATATTGTACTTATCATTAAATATGTACAATAAATACCAAAATCTATTTAATAAATCTATTAATGTTATGATTTGATTGATTTGGTTTGGAAAAAGAGAAATTCCTAAAATAATAGAGAAATTTCTAGAATGTTTCTAAAATAAATTTCTATCTCTGGAATGACCATGTTAATTTTGTTCTATCGATATTATTTATCTTGTAATAATACATTTTGATTAGAAATAATAGTTAAATATTATTATTATTAGTCTTTAAATTAGTAATTAAAGAAAAAATTAACTTTTTTTATTATATTAAAAAAATTATTAAATGATTAATAAAATTTTACAAAACTATAATTTTTTTATATAGATCCCATTTGTATGTACTGTATATATGTATTGTCTTATCAATATATTAAACAGTATTACAGTAGCTATAGATATGGGGATTCCATAGTATAATAATAAAGTTAAATTTCTATAGAAATTTACTAGCAATTTTCTCAGAAAAATTTAGTATATAAATTTCTATTTACTCATCTATTTTGAAACAACAAAAATATAATTTGAGAAATATTATAAAAATTATTTCTTTAATAACATAAAAATTATTAACATAAAACTTACAATTATGAAATTACAATCTATTTTTTTACTACTTTTTACTGAATGTTTAAAAAATTTACATCACAAATATTATTTTTAAAAAAATATTATTTAAAAATATTTAAAAAACATTATTATAATAAATATTAGTATATCATTAAATAGATGGGATTTTTTTAAAGAAAAAAATTAAATCAAATTAGTATTTAGTGTTCAAACCGTTAAAACATATGTTTGCGATCGCATCACAACTTTTGAATAATAAAAAAGTAAATTCTTAAGTAAAATAAAAAACTCGTTTAATATATTGTGAATTTAAAAAAGTAAAATAATATATTTTATATATTTTTGTTTCAAAAACTAGTTTAGTAACATATGGGACTTAACAAAATCTTTTAAACAAATGTAGAAAAATTGAATATAATTTAAAGATATATAATATAAACTGTTTTATATATTGTGTAAGAAAATTACACAAATAAAAGTTATATTGGAGTTTACAAAATAATAATACTGTATTTATTTTTCATATTAAATAATTTTGATTTATTATGATTTTTGTATAGCCATTTTTATTTATTATATGTTTTTAGATAATATTTAATTAATGAAATTGTTAAGTACTTTCAAATGGTAGTAATAATTATATTTATCGCTCTCATTATTGCTATACTATAATCAATGCTGTTTTGTACTAATTTTTACCTTTAAAACAGTATAAACACAATATTAACAGTATTTAATAGTAACATTAAATAAAAAGCACAAAAATGTTTAATCATTGATAATTGTAATTATAATTTTTTAGAAATACTACTCTATATGAAAATTACTTATAAATTTGATGCTAATTGGCAATTATTTAAAATTTATAATAATATTAAAGAAATAAATAATTTTTCACACATAATTATAAAAAAACATTTAATATATATAAGTAAACATTTTAGTATAATAAATCATATAAAGTAACATACAATTATATTTGATATATTTACATAATATTAAATTTATGTATATTAAATGAGAAGTATATTTTTATAGAAATGAAATATTAGGTATACATCAAATTGTAATTATTATAATAAAATTTACATTAATTATGAATATTATTTATGTTATTATGAAATTAATTTATATAAATATATTTAAAATGAAGAAACATTTCTCATGTAATATATAATGATTGATAGCCAAAGTAAATGAATAATCCATTGAATAATAATTGTATTATTGATGTCTTGAATATCAGTACTAAATATTGTACAAAGAATGTGATGATTGCAATAATAAAAAGTGATGAATGCACTACTGGTGCCAATTGCTGCCAACGGTGCTGTGCATACCCTATCCACACAAAGATTACCAATAATTTATTTGTGTCCAACATTTGCTTCGATACTAAGGACATGGCTCTGTTAGCTATAATATCCAATAAATCATGTTATTAATAATATTCATAATAATAATAATAATTTTACTTTAATATATATTTATGATTTATATAGTAAAGTGAGTTATTATATATATATATATACAGTATAAATGAATTACTGTTAGAAATAAGGATTTGTATTTAAATATATAATAGATTGACAAAAATAAAAATATAATATATTTTTAAAAATTATAATTAAAATTATTATATCACATATTTAACTTTTAGATAACATTAAAAATAGTTAAAAATAGTAAAAATATAATAAATAAAACAAATATTGAGACATACGGTCGACAGTCATTAGCTTTTCTGCGGCCACCGTCTGAAAGGTTCCCTCGACGCTAACCTCGCACTTGTAGTTACCGCCGGTTCTCATATTAATACTACTAATCAATACAGTTCCGCCTTCAGACTTATGTAACTATAAAAAATTAATCATATATTAAACATCTAATGTTTTTGGTGTTTATAAAGACATTTCCATTATTTTTTAAATAAATATAGTTATCTAATAACTTATGTGTAAAATAAAAAAGAGTAATTAAATTTTAAACGATTAACATAAATGTTATAATTTATTTTATTAATATGAAATTAGTATCTATTTAAAAAGTTATTTAGAAAATAAATTAAATGCCCATTATTTCATAAAATATACCTATTATAATTATAAATTATTATAATAAATTAACACTAAATATAATTGAATGCACAAAAAATAAAGTTAATTATTTTTGTTTTTGATGATATCTTTAATAACTTACAAATTATTAATAATTAAATTATTTCATTTTGCTTAGTACTATAAATTAAATGCTATAACCTTTATGATAATTTTATTTAATTAATAAAATAAACTCAAAATAATTATTTAATTTGTTGATCAAATGATGTGTTGATTTTTTTTTAAATATTAAGTTCGTGAGACAATTAATACAAAACTTGATTGTGTCAAATGAATAGCAACTAAATATCATTTAAATTGTCAAAATCCTGTCAACACTTACGTCAACGTTAATGCCTTCCAAAGGGAAGACCTGTTTGACAGGTTTTCCGCGAGGAGTATACCTAAAGAACTCCTGTTCTTCGGGATACTTATGACTCCTGTAAAACCATTTCAATGAATACAGCGATGCGTTTCCCAAGTCATACAAACACGACAATTGCACTTCACTGCCCTTCTTGACCTGTGCCGGCACATTGAGGGACACCAATCGGATACACGATATATCTGTCACATGAGATAAGACAATAGAAAATTATATGAAAGAGAGGAATGACATGTAATTAATTAATAGAAAGATATTTAATTTATTATCAATTGTCTATTTGTATCTCTGATCGACCACTTAAAGACAATGCAAAAACAATTATATGTGTTTTTGCACACAATATATACAATATATAAACTATATATGAGAAATACAGTGTCTTTAATCCAAATGTTGTGTGAAAACAATGGACACAAAACTGATGAAAACAAACGGCAGACAAATTAATTGCTACATATTTTTTGTTTTGTCTAAACTTTTTTTTTCCTATTTTTCTATTATTATTTTTTCTTGTTTTATCGGTTTCACATTTAAACCATTGATTGCCATACAAATTACTGATACACACTGTAATACAGTAGTTGTTTCTCACAAAATCAAACAATTCGTGTCTAATCTCTATCGGTCGGTCCGTTCATTGGACTTATGATATTAACAAAGTTTTGTGTGTAGTCTGTTATTTAGAGCTCAAAAATAAATTAATGAATTAAATAGATATTATGGAGAGAAAAAATAGACAGAGAAAGAGAGAGAGAGAGAGAGAGAGAGAGAGAGAAAGAGAGAGACAATAGGAATAAGTAAAAAGATAGACGAATAGAGAAAGAGTGGGTAAGAGTAAAGATAGATAGAAAGATTGAGAGAGAGAGAGAGCAAAGAAAATAGTATTTAATTTTGCTGTCGTAGGAAATACTGACGAAACAAATTGAATGACACAAACATTAATTGAATGCATCGATTTGTGTGTCATTTAGTAGTTGAATAGGCATTCAGTAATTGTTTTTTTTTCTCTGACTCTCACTCTTTCACAGCTCACATACAACCTATCCTTTTCCCATTGATCTCCCTTTCCTATCACATGTCAGGCCCAAGTGATCTATCCCAATGATAACACACATTGTCTGTGTGGTGAGTGTGTGATATCAAAACACACACAAACACATACATTCAATGTCTAAATGTATGTAAAATAGTTGCAATGTTTAGTATAACTTGTATACACACAACAGTAAAACTCATTATAATTAACTAATTAACCAAAAAGCTTTTTTAAATTATAACAAATGACCTAGATCATTTTGTAGACAAACATTATCAGAGCGTAAGCTAATAATAATTTTGTTAATTGCATCCATCTTTAGCATTAAATTGGGAAAACAGTTGCACATAAAATGCTTTAACAAAAGAAAAAGTAAAAAAAACTCCAGAAAAAACTAATACAAAAAACAGTGAAATTATATGGATATTGTATATCAATTGCAACCGATCTAATGTTACAGTAAATTGTGATTCACAACAATTATTTGTGACACAAAAAAGTGGTGACCAATGGATAATACAAATGTTTGTCCATTTTTGCGCTCAATTTGTGTTAATATTATTTTTTGTTTTTGTCAAATGTTTTGTTCCCATTTCTCAATAGAGAAAAAGTGCTTATTTTTACTTTCACTGACACACACACACACACACACATATATATATATATATATATCAGGGTTAAGCAAGGTTTTGGATTTTAGGGGGGGGTAGACCGGGGTAAAATTTACAAAATTCTCGAAAAATCTTGGGGGGGGTATTGGGTGGGGTAAGATTTTTATTGCATTTTTAAACGGCAATTTTTTCAAAAATCCAAAATCAAGGGGGGGGGGGGGGTCAAGAGAAAATTCCCTAATATTCCCTTAAATTCCCGAATATTCCCATGTAAATTCGATAAAATTCCCATAAGTTCCCGTATAAATTCCCAGGAAAATAGGTAAAATTTACAAAAATACTAAAAAAAACTTTAACAAAAATAAAAAAAAGTTAAATTTTAACAAAAATAAATATTTTTAAAAAAAAATTTTAAAAATTAATAAAAACTTAAATTTTACCAAAAAATAAAATAATAATGTATTAAATACTTAAAAATAGGTGATAAAGGCATTAATGATACACTGAGTTTTTTAGTATTTTAGTAATTTTTAACTTTTAAAATAATTTTTTAAATAATACTTAATGCTTATAGTTTATAGATATATATTTTTATTTTTTAATGTTATTTTTATGTAAATACTGATTGAATACTAATTATAAAATTAAAAATATTTTAAATTTTTTAGTTAAAATTTTAAAAATTATTAATAAAAACCTTGTAATATAAGTATTTATTTTTTTATTAACTTCTTAAACTATCTCAAACTTCTATTTATATTGTAATATGATTATTCTTTTCAACAAATTGGTATTTTTTAACTTTTTAGTTTAATATTTTAAGTAAAATTATGTTATTTTTTGATGAGTTTTAACGTTATTTTAACTTTTTTACTTATTTTTAATCAATAATTAGAATCATATAAATTTTAAAAACATAAAAACACTTACTAAAATAGTATTAACTAAAATTAAAATTTTTATAAATCTCAAAAAAATTTTCGGCGCCTTCGGCGCCGAAATTTTAGGGGGGGGTCATTTCTCCTCGTTTTTAAGCGACAATTTTTCCCATTTGGTCAAAAAGTCTGGGGGGGGTAAAATCCCAATTTCTCGATCTTAGGGGGGGGTATTTTGGCCTTACCCCCCCCCCTACCCCCTTACTTAACCCTGATATATATATATACATAAACTCACATAAATACACACATAAACTCAAATAAAAAACTAATGATTGCTGAAAATACAATTAAAAAAGTCAACAATTATTCACTAATTAACTTATACATGAACTGATTAAATTAATATTTATTTTGATCTGTATTTAGTAAAAAATATAAGTATTACTTTATTTATCATTTCTGTTTACATTGATAAATTGTAAGCATTGAATTATATATATAAAAATATAATTTACTAGCATTTAAATCTTTCATATTAATTTTTTTTAATAGTAAAATATTTTAAATAATATTTGGTTACCTTTGAATTTATTTGTTTTTATACCATAAATATAAGTTTACTACTATGTATGTAAGTAAGTATGTATGTGTGTGTGTGTGTGTGTGTGTGTGTTTGTGTGTGTGTTTGTGTGTGTGTACGTGTGTCTGTGTGTGTGTGTCAACTGTTCAATTGGTTTATAGAGTTTGTTATTATTTGTTATTTTAATTGCAATTAATTGTTGTGCAGTAGTAGTAGATCACACAAATACAATACAAGACAACAACTGAAACCACATAATATTTAAGACTGTTTATATAGAGCCCACCTAACTGTGCCATAAGGTCTGTGCGATTAAGTATTAGTTGACTGTCTGTTGTTATAATAGGATTGAAGGCAACACTTTATTACAGGAGAAAGAAATGAACGAAACTTAATGAACACCAAAAAGCAGAGACACAAACATTTACTATAGTATTACAGCCTATTGTTAAATACCAGTGCTTTTATTAGTGCCAGTTATGAAATACTGCCGGCACTGATAGGTTGAAGTAAAAGGTGGTCATAAATTCATTTTGATAAGTGACCCATAATTGATGCCCACATTTTTCATAAACACTTTTCTCCTACAATTTATTATTATATTTTTGTTTTATATTATTTATATATAATAAAGTATATATCCATTCAATTTGTAATGAAGTTTTTTGTTTGCGATGTTTATTATCTTCACTATTATTTTATAAATGTATCTAAAATTGAATTAAATCTTTTTAAAAATACAGAATAACATTCCCTGTCTTTATCTATAATTTCATCTAACTATACGTTTTATAATCATATTAACATTTTGTATACATACTATAACTTACTTTTAAAAAAACATTACTAATATAAATACTATAGTAATTGAATTATTAGTCAATTTTAATAAATTAATTGTAAAACATATAAAACATGATTACTTTATATGAGTCGTTTTGCTTCTACACAAATATTTATAAGATATATATTTTACATTATATAATACAGTATATACATATATATATATATATATACTGGTAGTGTATAAAAATTATATATATCACATATCACGGATAAAATACTTTATTTATCTAAATGTTTTGTCTGGTTTTTGTATAAATGGATATAATTTTAGAAAAACTTTGCAATTGAAGTATAAAATATCTAAATCACACCATCAATATATATACCCAAATCTTAAATGACAGTCATTTTCGTTGAGTAGTAATGAGGAGTGATTGAGAAAACTTTGGCAAAATATAATAATAACTTTTTCATAACAATGACAGTAAAAACAAAAATTTTGAGAGCTTTAAGAATAGAATCGTAACAATAACTACTGTCTGAACGGTTCATAAATTTTTACAATAAAATTCAAAACAACTTTTTCTTTTAGCAAACATTCACTATATTTATATATTATAGAAAGTAAGAAAAAAAGAGATCACAATATTTTATATGATATTTATATCAAAAATATTTGACACATAATACATGATCATAAAAGCAATATTTATTTGTCTCATTTATAAGCATACAGTGTATACAAACAAATAATAATAATCCATTCAATTTATAGCTAAGAAATGTCTAAAAAAATATTGTAATATCAAATAATGTACAAAAATTCATAACTGTAGTAAAAAAAGTATATTTGCACTTAAATATTACAAAAATAAATAAATAAATATATTTTTATATAAATTTAATATTTTACTTAAAATATTTGTATGCATTTCATATTTCAAAAATTACATTAGTTTTTCTAACAATTTAAGCTTATTATACACATTGTATATATTTGTAAATAGATATACAGTATTTGTGTGCATAATGTTTTTTGGTATTAACTGCATAATATTGTAGTAAAATATTCATGAAGATTGATTTAAAGTTGCAATTATTGTCAAATTGTTAATAATAAAAATTATTAAATATTTTAAGCAAAATATTATTATTATTT